GTGTATAAGAGACAGGCCCGGGGTTGCCTCAGGGCCCGGGGTTGCCTCAGGGCCCGGGGTTGCCTCAGGAGCGGGGTCTGCCCCCAGAATGGGGGTTATGTCAGTCTCGTAGCTACCCCCGGGATGGGCGTTACCTCAGGGGCCGGGAGTGAAGTTACCTCCTGGCGGCCCGGGCGGGGCTGGCCCGGTGCAGGCCCCGCCACAGGCCGGAGCCAGGCTGGGGAGCGGATCCGTCTGGAAATTTCCAGAAAAAAAGAGCCATAAAGTGCGGCGTTGGGGCAGGACTGCTTCCTCTGGCCGTGAAGTGTGGCTGTGGGAGCAGGAGGGGGCTCGGCGGGCGCGGTGGCTGGTGACACCCCTCCCCGGCGCTCGGAGCAGGCCGCAGGGTGCTGTGCGGGCCGTGCTTGATGCTTACCAGGGCCAGTTATCGGTCTGTATTTTAAATCAAGCTCTTTTTTGCCTTAATGGTGGTTTGGGAGGCATTCCTCCCCTTCCCTGTGACATGTGGGTGGTGGTGTCATCTTCTAAGTTTCCAGGCCAGTGCCTGCCGCTGCCTTGACCTACCCTCTGCAGAGCAGGGTCTCCCCACTGGCCAGTAGACCAGCCAAGCCGTGGGGCAGGACTGGTCTGTGGGGCACGTCTGGCACGCTGGTCCTGCACTCACCTCTAGAGATAGCGAGTTAACCATCACCCACCGACCGCAGCTGGCTTTCAGAGGAACCAGGCATCAGTCACAGTAAACACTGTGCCACTTAGCACGGGTCTTCTGTACAATGATGTGAGAGCAGTAGTATCTTGTAATCAGCATCTTAGTAGCTGTTGATGAAATGGTTTTAGTCAGCAGAGGCGTTTTCCCGTTTTAGTAAACATTATTTCATTTCAGACTTTGTACTTTAGTGGTGCCAGGACTGAGAATGCTGGAAGATCTTTTGAGTGCTGCAGCTCATCCTGCATCTGCCCCTCATGCCCAGTTGTTCCTTGTTGCCGAGCATCTTGCCATCCTCTTGTAGCTGCAGTGACTATATTTAGACCTCGTGTTGTTGCTTTGGTTATGAGTAGCAGATTTTTTCGCTTCCCCCCTGCCTCAAGTAAACACTGTGTTTGAGGCATTAACATTTCCAAACACATTAAAAGAGCACTTAGCGATGTTCAGCCAGTTGGATCACTCAATTGGTTGAACAAAGCTAACCCTGTAATTTTGCATACAGGGTGTCTTGCACATGAACGAAAATAGGGAGGGAGTATGGTGTGATGTGTTCTCTTTGCTGGACTGCTCCATTCCCGAGTCCTGGAGAAGATGGGTATGAAAGAGAGTAACAACCACAGTGAAATTATTTTCTTTGTTTAGCCATTGTGAAATGTTGATGTATTTATGCGGCTCATATATAGATATCTATCTATCTATCTATATATATATATATATCAAGAGGCCAAAGTGCATCTGAATTGCAGTTTTCCTCATTTCATCTAAATGTGAAGTGAGTGAAGGGATTCTAGCTTTACTGAGCCTTCTGCCCAGAGAACTGCACTTCTCATGAGACCCTCATGGATCTGTGTTAGGGCTTGGATGAGCTTCGTTTGTCTTGTGTTTTGTGCGAGCTCTCTAAAATAAAGAAGAGGCAGGGAAGAAGGTGTGGATGTAGGCAGTGTTCATTCGAAAATAATTCAACAGGATCTTTTTGGTGTTTGTTGAGAAACATTGATCTCTGCATTGCAGTGAGCCCTGTGCTACCAAACCTGTGTATGGAGAAGTCCAGAGCATTGAGAGGGAGTTGGCACTGGTCAGTTTGTGTTATGGCTCCCTTCCTCCTGCAAAGGTTAACCTGGGAGCCGGGAGAACAGCTCTGGCTGCAGAGAAGTCACAGGATGTTTTCTGAAAAATACCCTTGGAGCTCTTCTCTTTTCTGCCAGACCGTAGGTATTTCTTTACTCAGTAGTTCCTAGGCAGGACTGGTGCTGATCTACACAAACCCTAGCTTTGAGGTTTTTTCTTCACCTTTGATTCCCCAGCAACCTTTTCCCCCTTTGCAGAAAATTAGGGTACTAGCTTTCCTTCACCAGGCAGGAAGAGCCTTGCTCCCTCTCGGAGCCTAAAAGCCAGACTCTTACATGATGCTGTGTCACCATCCCGCTCACTCTTGCAGTATATTTTTGTTTGTAGAGCATGAGGAGTTTTCCATGGTCCCTTCCTGCAACTAGTTCTTCCAGTCTGAAATTCAGTCCAGACATTTCTCCCTCCTTCTTCCCCACAGCTACAGTTGCTAAAGTGATTGACAAATTTGAGGATGAAACTGCAGATGACATTTTCCCTGTTGGCGATATACGAAAAAAAGCTTCAGCCTCTCTCTTGGAAGCTGATAAAAGGTACAGTGGAAAAGCTACATCTCGCAAAGCTCTGCAAGAAGAACTCTGGGGAGATGCTCTGTCTGAAGAAGGGTCTGGTAAGTAATCTCCTTTCTTTCTCCTTTTCACTAGACTGCTCAAAATGTGATGTTAGTGTGTTAGCTGAGCTAGTGCCATCTGAACTGAGATGAGAAGCTTCAGGGCCCTGTTACAGAGCAGTAAACAGGTCCAGTTAAGTTGAACATATTCCTGAAATTCAGGCCGTGTGTTTTTGGGGAAGGGGAAATCCCAGAAAGGGTTCACTTCTACAGATTGAGGGAACAGCATGACTAAGTGTGAGGTGAGGTTCAGTGCGCTGACTGCATATTGTGTGGAAGAAAAGAAACAGCTCCCTTTTTTAAGCCAGTGTATCTCAGGGACAGCAAGTATAAATAGATTCTTATTTTAAGAATTCATATAGCACATTCTGACCACCTTGTTTGCTTATCATGTCATTGTTTCCTGGGAAAAGCTGAGCCATGGATCTAATCGTTGCTGCAGAAAATGTGTGCTGAGAACTTTTCATGGATTTGGTCTCGTGTTTCTGTTATTTAGCCAAAGCAGAGTAACATTATATGCAGATGAAATGGAGTTTGGAGCTCAGATAGCTCAAACCTGTAGCTATTGATGATGCATGCTGCCAAGTGGCACATTTTTCTGGTGAGTAAATAACTTTTTTTCTCTTTCAATTAATAGCTGAAGAAGCGTTAGAGGAATGGTACAGCGGCAGTGAAGATTCAGACGAGAATGAGAGCTTAGGCAGTAAAACAAAGGAGAAGCCCAGCAGTGCTGGCAGTGACCAGGAGGATTACTCGGAAGATGACGAAGAGACAGATCTGTCTGTCAAGGCCAAGGCACCAAAGTTCAGTTTCCAGAACATCACAGACTTTGAGAAATTTACAGAGGGGATGGACGATATAGGAAGCAGTGAGGGGGAAGATGATGATGATGATGATGATGATGATGATGATGATGATGATGTCAGCATGGAAGGAGGAGGTGATGAGGAGGAATGTGGGAGTGAAACCCATGACAATATAAAGGAAACCAAAGACAGCGAAGATGATGGGGGGATGATGACATTCTCAAAAGGACGAGAGACTGAAGAAGTAGAAAAAGGAATAGCTGTGAAGAACCAGCTAGGTTTGTGCATGTTTGCTTTGTATTTTGACCAGACTTCCACCTTGCTGACACTGTAGAAACCAGCCATGTTAGGAACCACTTCAGCACGTTAACATGCTGTTAGCATACTGCACGTGCGTGCTACAGCAGCCCTGGTGATTTGCAAATGTTCTGCCAAATCTGCTATGCAAGCTGGTGTCACTGCTGCTACAAAATCTCGTGTTATGAAGTGTATTTATCCACTGGCTTAATTAAGCCATTATTGAATATACTTGTAGTGTTGGCGAGCCTGGGGACTTCCTATGGTAGAGCCGTGCAGCAACGGTGATACCACTGCTGTTCCTTTCCAAAATCTAATGCCAAATGCCATTTCTTCCTGTCTGTCCTATGGAACTATCAGACCTCCATTTGCAGAATGTCTTTTTAAACAGTAAAGCAAAGGGATGACTTGTTTTGTGGATCACAGAATTGCAGTCAGGATCATAGGCTGGGATGCTGCTTTGTCCAGAGACACTCTGTGGTACCAATTTTGTGCTGGGTCAGTGCATGCAAAAGATTTGTCCAAACCAGCAGTCATGTAGCACAAAGGGGAGGGCCGGTGCTGTTAAGTCAACAGCTCCTTCACAAGGATCAAGTGCTTTGGCTTGCTAAGTAATTGTTTTATTTTCTCTTTGTTATGAAGCATTGTGGGATCAACTGTTGGAAGGGAGAATCAAGATGCAGAAAGCGCTCGTAACAGTCAACCGACTTCCACAGCCAGATGCTTACCCAGTCTTCAGAAAGGAAGGTGGACAAGAATTTGACAGTGCTGTCCAGAAATGTAAGAATTCTTCAGTATTTCTGCTTTGGGTAGGCTTTGCTATAGCCAGTATGTTTTGTGTGTGGGGAAGCGTTAATGGGAAAGTGAGGGCTTGGAGTTGCATCTGTGCGTAGGATTAGCTGTTGATTTGTATGGCCTTAATCGTTAGGTACCACGCAAACAGAAACCAAAACCTGTTTCCTACCTCAGACAAAGAAAATGTCTCCTCTTCCCTGCCTCTGTCTAAGCCCAGGTGATCTCAGCTGGTGGCCTGTCCTCACTTAGGTAATGTTGGTAAGCCGCAGCTCAGGTCCTGCTGCTGTTTTCTAGTTCATGTGGGGATTGAAGTTTGCTTATCAAATTTAAGTTTCGTATCGTAGAAACTTGCTGTATCGTAGAAACATATGCTGTATCGTAGAAACAGTTGGTTTGGTTATCGCTGTTCACTGCAGAGTTGGGAGGCTTCTTTGTCTGGAGACACCTTGTGGTACCAGTTTTGTGCTGGGTCAGTGAATGCAAAGATTTGCCTTAACCAGGAGTAGTGTAGCACAAAGGGGAGGGCCTGTGCCGTTAAGGGAAAAGCAAATATCTTTACACCTTGGAGCTGTTTCATCTGTTTATTTCTTAAGATCACTATGAATGATACTGCCCTGATGAGATGTGGAGTAGAATCTCCAATATGGCAAATACAGTGTGCACGCTCCAGTGGATAAGTGCGAAGTGCTCAACTTCAGTGTGTTGGGGGTCTATTTAATTTTGAGGATTGGACACCCTTTTTACTTGGCCTTAAGGTGGATGCACAGGGAGATGAAATGTCTGGTGTGTTATCCTCGAGAATAAGTACGAACTACTGCAAGTATCTGTTGGTGTCCATTTCTCCCTGAGATGATTTTTGTTTTCTGTCAGAAACCATACAGATGACAATGTTTATACACGGATTGTTCTTTTTTCTAATCCCATTAATCAGAAATTAGTGAACTTCACAGGACATTCTTCCAGTGATTTTGAATAATAAAGATAAGCCCAGTCGCATTTTAAAGCTTGTCATGTTGGTTATCCCTTTCACTTCTATTTCTTCTTCCCCAATCTTGAGATACTGCTCACTTCCCAGAACGTTTGAGCTCTGCAGGTGAGCAGCCCTGGAGGGTCCCGCAGGTGAACCGGTCGGCGGAAGCACGGCAGCGGTGTCTCCAGCCCTCCGTGCTGAGGCTTGCCATGGCCCTTCGGCCACACCATGTGCTGGTTTGTACCTGCTCTGGTGGTACCTGCGTGTTGAGAAGTTGTGGCCTGGGCTGGCACAAATCATCTTAAAACTGGATTAGGAACTTTGACCATTATTGAACTTGACCCTGAATCTTGCCCCCACACCAAATTTTCACTGTCTTACAGCCTGGTCTAAGCATGATAGCTAAACACCTTATCTGGAGTTTCAGCAGGTGAGATACTTTATATTTTAAAGTTAGCTCTGTTGCTTTAAATGAAGTGATTAAGGAAAAAAAAAAGGCGAACTCCCAACAATACTAAGCTGACCTTTCCGTGAAATACATGTTATTAATGTATTTAATGAGATGCATTACAAACTGCACCGAGCACCATGTTTCATTACGGGTCTAAAATGCAATATCATTAAAGACCTTTAACAGAAACAATGGTTGACATTTTGATATTTCCCATAAGCAAAAATACATCCAAGAACGTGGAGTATAGTACTGTACACAGTTCAGCAGGGAGGCTGATCTTTCAGTTGTCCAGAACACTAAAGGAAAACCCACTGTTAATTACTGCTCAGTGTTCCCCTCCGTGCCCTCTTCCCATAATCTGGGCAGGACGGTTGCAGGACCTGATGTTCCTGAGAGCTTGGGTTTGTGTTCTGTAGTTCGTCTGTGACAACAGCAAGAAAATAAAGCTGGAGTGACCTGGGCAAAGTTAGCAAAGGGGGTGCTCGGACTGACAGACAGGAGATAATGAATTTAGGAACATTCTGCTACTACTACACTTGTTTAGTGTTTTCTGGTGTTCTCTAAGGGACCAGATTTATATTCCTTTTTATTTCTATTTTTTTAAAATACAGTCTATAATTGTACAGTAAAGTAGGTTATAGTAAATAGTCATTTATGATGAGCTACAGTATTGTCCAGTGCTGCTACCTTTCACTGCCCTGCAAAGATGCTCTTTCCAGAAGTTGTAAAATGCCAAGCATGAAATAAGGACTAAATTTATACATTAAGATCTTATGGAAGACAAGGGATGTAGCTGGTGTTATGTGACAAAGACCCATTTCTCTCACTTTGCTCTGTTGGGCCCTGGGAGAGGGATTCGCGTCTGATTGAGAGCTGGAGCTTTACCCCATGGGCAGTCTGAGCTGTGTTACATCTTCACTTAGGGAGCTTCTGCCTGGATAACAGGGCTGTGACTTGTCTGTTCAGGAGGTGAAACTAAGTCCTTCCTGAAAATAGGCATGATACTATAAAGTTCTTTCATGAATTGATGCACCTTGATTTATGGGGGGGGGGAAATCTCACTTATTATAAATCGGCTTCCAATAAAACTCCTGGTTTTTAGCTGATCAAGGGGTTTAGTGCTTCTATAAAAGTAACCTTTTTTACTTGATTCTGAGCAGTGGTGTAGTGGGCTGGGTAAACATTTCTGGACTCCTGAGTTCTCACCCCAGTTGTGTTACCAGCTTGTGGGTAGGTTACCATTCTCCAGAGAGGAAAAATGAGAAGAAGTGGGCATGAGTAAGTTTAGAGATGTTTGCAAATACTGAATGCTGAGGTGATTTCATTGTATGTGATGCACTTCGGTCCTGGACAGGAGTTGGGATAATCATGACATTGACACTCTTTTGGACTGGGTGATACTCTCTTTTCAGGGAAGCCTCTGCACTTTCCAAATCCACAGAACAAATTTGGCATGCTTTCATCATCTTCATTGGAGGAAGTGGTTTGGTGACCAAGTCGCACAAAGCAGTTGGTGCCAAAAATCCAGACTCTTGGTGCACGCTGCAGCCTGCTGAAGGCAGGAGGGCCCAGAGGGTCTCGGCACCAGCTCTCTGAGGGCCTGGACAAGTCCCTCGCATCTCTTCGAAAGCTGCCCCACAGTGCTTGTGGTGATTTACCCCAAGGCCTTCTATTGCTTATGAAATTTCTGCTCTGTGCTCACAGGGAAGAAGGTGATTTTTTTTTTAAATGGAAAATGGTCCTTTGTATATTTGCCTCTTTGGTATCTCCCACTTGTGACAACCCTCTGTGCAGCTCGTGGTGGTAGTGAAATTCCCCCAGGGTTTGAGTATAATTGTGTTAAAGAGTAGACAGTTATGCTCTATACATTCACAGTTTTAAAGCCAAATCTGGGTGAAAATGGTAAGGTCATGCTTGTTTTCCAGATTTTGAGATTGGAGGTTACAAAATCTCAAGTTTAATTTATTATTTTGGTAATCTTTTATGAAGTATTAAAAAAAAAAAAACAACCCAAACCAACGTGCTTTGGACAGTCTTGGATTCCTGAGATCTCAGGTTCTGGTGGATGATTTACTGCAAAATTGCTTATAAATTGAAGTAGAAAATGTTTTGCAGACCTGGCAGCTTTCAGGCTTCACACCCATTTGTCACCCAGCATTTCCCTTTGTGTATAGAACAAGAATTAATTAGGCTGCACTGCAGGAAAAGTTTATGGCCATAATTTATATAGGATGAATTTCTGTTTAAAGAGACAGCATTGCTTTGTTTGCACTGTCTTACTTTTTCTTTCTTTTTAAAAAAATCTTTAATTATATTCCAGATTTTTTTTTTTTCCGTCCCCCTTTTTACATACAAATTGGAGAACAAACTGTGGTCGTGGAGCTTGTGTTTATTCCTGTTTTGCATCCACGGAGAAAGTCTGAGTGGCTTTTAATCCTGAAAGCACGGCGGCTGCGCTCGGGATGCTGTGCAAATGTTTAACATTTAATGCACTGCACACGTGAACTCCCACAGCTTACGTTTGTGAGGTGCTGCTGCCTGGAGTGGTCTGTTTCTCCAAGATACATTTGTATTCTCTTGCACCCTATCTTCCAGTCTAGTCCAGGGCTTGAGATGTTGCCTCTGTTTGGGGTCTTGCACGTTCAATTAATGTTTTTCATAATCAATGCAAGTCAGAATTTGCAATCTGCTCCTGATTTGCACATTAAAGAGAGCCATTAATTAAAAATTCCAATCCCTGGCATGTTCCCGCAGGATCCTTGCATTATTTACATAGAAAAAGAGTGCAAGGTGCAAGTTTCTGTGCTGTGTCTCTGCACAGATTGCATGCCTGCCATTCATATTTCTATGTATGTTTTCAAGGAGGAGGAAGGTTAGAAGTGGATCTCATGCAAATGTCACCAAAAATTACCTCAAGGGCAAGAAAGAGCCAAAAAAGATGGAAGTGACATTAGTGAAGCCACATCCAGTGTCAGGAATTAAACAGTTCATAGGTTTGGGGCTTGTTATGTTAAATTTTGATTCAGTGGCAAAAAACCCACAGCTAATTGGGGGGGCAGGGGGCAATAAGAGCTTGAAGAAATTATCTCTCTCATTCACCAAAGGCTGGAAGCGGTTGTATGTGCCCTGGGTAGCTGAGCTTCCCAATATGGTCACGCAGCTCTTTTGTTGCTATTTTAATTACTTTCTCTTTATAATTCCGGTTAAAAGTACTAAGCTGGAAGTGTTTCAGTGACTAGTACTTTGTACTCCACAAAAAAAAAAGCTGGGGATTCTTGCTTTTAAATAGTATAATGGGTTATTTTCCGTTTATAGTTGGTGATGTGAGGAGTTAAAAACGTGCAGAAGCCCAGGTGAGGCTCTTGCGGAAGGCAGGGTGCTGATGGAAATTGCAAGGCTGTAAAGGGAGGTGTACTTGTATATGTGTTCATATATATCTGCTTTCACTTTCCAAGAGTTCAGTAGGTCCCTGAAATGTAAACTACTGGCTGAGTTTATGTAGTTTTGTTTTTTTTTTTTTTTGCTTTGACTCCTTCTGTCAGTGGATTAAGAGAAAATACC